AAAACTACCCTAAGAGTAATAACTAGTAGAAACCTATAAAAAATATCACCTATATATAATACCTCTTAAAGAATTTCTATTAATAACATCAAAAAAAGAAATAGAACTAAAAGAAACCCTAAAAATAGAAGGCTAGTTAATTATATTTATAGCCCCCAATAACTGGGCCTCCCCAACAGCCTGCTGCTCAGCAAGCAATACCTCCTCCTGGAAATATACCCCATTAACCTCATCTACCTCATACAAGCCCTATAAAAATAGCACCAAACCCCGCTCACAAAGGGAACAATACTAAGTATGTAGACGGGCCAGTCTAGCCAGCGTTTCAGCCAACAGGCTCTCCGCCTGCTCAATATCCACCTCAAGTCTCTATTAGGCCTCTAAGTTCCGGGATACTTGGGAAAATATTAGTAAAAACCCCCGGTAGAAAAGGTACATATAACTCACAGAAAGAAGCGACATTCGAACCATCGCACGAATGCCCGTAACGAATGCATTTGCTGCAACGAGACGACTTCTCGGACACCCGATAAATCTTGTGGTTATTGAAGCAATAGGAATAGGGCATGATGACTTCGTAGCCCTCCTGATCAATAATGCGCGTAAGAAGAAAACGCTGTGAAGCTTTGGTAGATTTTTGGACGCGCCCTGACATGACGATCAGCACGCAGGAATAATTAAGGAAGCAAGTTGGACCTACAACGCAACGAGGACACGGAGACCTATAATGTAACCTTGGGACAAGGCCAACAGGGAGGGAGACATCGTATTACGGCCCAGGTTGAGACCAGGCAGTCTCAAGCGGCAGAACCGTAACGCCCCACTTTCATTCTTCCCCAATCGACGAAGGATCACTCGAATCACTCCCGTAATCCAGCGATCCCCGACATAAGGACCAATCAAGTAAAGGATTACTTGGATTACTACTGCAATCCTCACGATCCAGGGCGATAACTCACTAGGATTACTACTGCAATCCCCGTAATCTACTATAGTATATATATACATTTATTTAGCACTCTTATAGATAGATAGCCTTACTAGCTATTAATATACTTGGTTATATTGAATTTATTATTCTACTATTACTAGATTGTGATCTATATTGCTTACTATGATGTTCTGATCTACTTGATTATATATTATATGCCTCGGACCTACTCTATACCCCTAGGTTAGACCCGACTGTTATAATTTGCCTTTATATAATATATAGTCTTCTAGCTGGTATATCTAATGAGATAGATATATATAAAGCTAAGAGATAACTTTAAGCTAACCTGGATATAGTAAATAATTTCCTATTTATAATAGATTAATTTAATATATTATAAGCCTCTTTAGAATATAGTAATCTAGAGGCTAGAGGTTTATAATACTAAAGAAATACAGATTATCTACTTCTATAATTTATATTTTATTAATTAGCCCAGTAAATAGATAGATATCTTAATATTAATATACAGTCTAGTAATATATAGCTTAGTAATATCTTTATAGTATATACTAAAGACCCTAAGAATTAGAAGCTTAGCAGAGACTTTTTAAGATACTATTTTAAATTAGGCAGCTTTATTAAGATTAAGGAAGATTATTAACTATATTATACCTGGACTTTAAAGGTACTTATAAAGTAATAAGAATTTAAGGTTATTATCCCTATCTAAGAGGCACAACTCAGGGTTTTTATTACTCCTGTCCCTTTTCTTTTGTTACTCGTCTGTTCGCAAGGCCGAAGATTCGGTGGGCCGCTCTGCAATTGAGACTGTCTTGGTAGATGCTGCTGCATAGTACATCAGACCTTGCACAAAATAGGCCAGACACGTGATCAAATATATCTATGCACAAGTTCGCACGGAGTTGGTAGCCTAGAGTAACATACAAGATACATGATGGTTGAACGACTGGTACGACTCCAATAAACTCTATCCCGTTATTCGTCAATCCCACACCACCGTGAAGGGAGGTGCGTTTCGGTGGCCGTCTTCAAATGTCCTTCAGTCTGGTCGGGAACGGGGACAGACCAAGCCACCAATCCGGGTACATGGTTTGACAACACGCCGATTCGTGGGGTGCTCGCTGATAGGTGTGGGATGATGACCAAGAGAGACCCCGCCCCGATGATTTTCGGTAGTGCCCGTGACACAGCACATTTGATCACTCGATTAGCCTAAATAACGGCTGCTCAATACACAATTTTCTTCGTCCATGAATCCTACCAACTCGGGCCGCTAGGGGCCGCATTTACCCCCTGCGCGTCCGACAATTTTGCTAGTCACGAGACTCCTTTGCCTGGGAACGAAATGAACCACGGCGACGCACAATTTATTGTGAGTGCAACCCTGACATTACAAAGTGCAACCCTCAAATTGCAACCATGGGGCGATTATGGCCTGAGTGGCGCGATTCTAGACCTTTGTTGGTTTGGTTGGTGTTGGATTGACCCCTCGTGTGGCGGCATAACCTCTGATACACCGATATCCTAGCCTTAGTCAGATGACTAGAAAAACCCCTCAGGAGAAAAGAGGGGGCCGGAGGCATCCTAGATCATACACACATCAATACAATCATCTTGGTCTCCACAGAAAACCCCCTTTGAAGGCTCTGATCATCCTAGCCGTATTGGATCCATCAAGATGTTAAAGGTAGTGTTGGACTGACCCTCGGGTGCCGGACTAGGGGCCCGGATAAGACCGAATCCCTGATACATCAATATCTTGTCTTAGTCATGAGGGGGTGTGAGATTGACCAAAAACCCCTCACCGGAAACAGGGCCCTGGAAGGAGGTTAGATCCTACAAGAACAGAGATCAATATCATCATCTTTAGGCTCCTGTTGGATGATGACCCTGTATGACGAATCCTCGGATAGATTGATATCCTGACCTTAGTCAGAAGGGGGGTATGAAAACCCCTCTTCCGGCCGATCCGGATGACCGGCACAAGCAATCATCAACATCATTATCACTGTATTAATCCCTATCTATTTGATCGAATTGACCGTAACGGATCCATCAGCTCCACTATCGTCTTGATCATTATTGCCCTAATTGACTTACCCATACCGGATCCAACAGGTAGGATAGACTTTATTGCATGTGACGATTGCCGTAGTCTAGACTCCCTAGTGTTGGCGGATTGACGGAATGTGTTGGATACGCGGTACGTATCTCGAACACACGACGGTGTGAATTAAATAGATTATGTAGCAGAAACTTGGTGATCTTATTGATTGAAGCCTTGATGACGCTTTCCTCAGTCTTGGTGCCGGGGGGGGGGGGGGTGGTCCGTCCATTTCTCACGCTTTCACCGCTGCAAGTGTTGGATTGACCCTCGGGTGGCGGAATAAGGTCCGGATAAGAACAACCCTCTGATACATCAATATCCTGTCTTAGTGTTAGATTGTGGCTGTGTGATGCATCAAGGAGGTTATTCAGGTATCAGAATACTGGGATATCTGCATCTATGGCTGAAGATGATGATAAAACCCCGCTCTAGAGGAAAGTGGAGACGAGAGTCAACGAGAACAAGCACAATAAGAACAACCAAACATATCATCAAGAATTAATCTACATTTATCTGGCTATCCTTAATCTTTACTAAAGATACACCGCGTATCTAACACTTAGTTATAGGGTGTGAGATTGACCCAAAAACCCCTCATCGGAAAAGAGAGGCCAGAGATCCCAGAAGACACATCATCAGACATCAATATCATCATCTTTGGGCTCCACATCGTATGGATCCCTATCACCCTGATCGAATTGACCGTATCGGATCCAACAATATACGTTAGCTGGAAAAAGAGTGATATATATTCACGGTGATATATATCACTTTAGCACTTTAGCACAGTGTGATATCACTTTAGCCTATCACCATACGCAAGTCTGATGGTGTTGTACATGTGAATTGAGTAACTGCGTATGTGAGAATATGATGAACACTGTCACGATGTCTCTGGTGGACTGTATGATCTCTCTGATGTGCAAGACGAAATCTGATACATTAGGTACATGAACTGATCCGACGGGCTACCAGTCCGAGCCACCTTCGTGAATTCCAGATTCAGTCTACTTGACCCTTTGTTCTTTGGGAATTCTCAAATTACAAACTGGTTATGACAGACCTCGTTAAACACAAAATAGACTTAGGTGTTGCCAGTTGTGGTTTATTCTCCAGCAAATTCCTCGATATGCCCCAGCCCAGGCTAGACTGTAGTAGGAGGCACTGGAGGCTGGGTGTTTCCCGTGCCATTTTGCTCTTCGATTCCCTGCTCGTAGCCGTTCGCCTGGGAATGACGTCTTAAGTGAAGATATCATTAATCTGGAATCCAAATCACGCAATTCTTGGGCCCAAGGGAACCTACTTGGTGAGTTTTTCTGCATGATGCTTGATGTCGCGCTTTGTCTCCTCGAGTTTGATGTAAGTATGGAAGACATATATCCCCTAGAGGTAGTGGCGTCAATTTCTTCCGTTTTCTTAAATTCAAGGGCAGGTACACGGAAATTACTCACAAGAATGCCACTCGTAACGTGGAGGAACCACGCGATGAATGAGAAGGCCAGGACCGTCCTCCACTGCGCGCACCCCGCCCTGTCGATGCTAACTGTCCCAACGGGACCGACTCGCCAGAAACGACCCCAATAGTAGCCCCAATAGTCGTAATACCAGCGTGAAGAGCAAGTGTGACTACCCGTCCTCTGTTCAAAGTGAATTTTGCCGTTGATTAGTCGGTGGTCTTCGCCAAGGAACAACATAAAAATCGGGAGGGAGAGCCATACGGTCTGAAGTAGGCAGTATGCCACGAGCCACATCACAAACAGTACGAAATCAAACGGAAAGCTCAAGAAGAGAGATTTGAATGGCGGGCAAAAAAAGAAGGAGTAGATAATACCGATGCCCCCGACGACCATGGCATAGACGATCCGTCCATCGGCACTCTCCTGCGCGATGCTAATGAGGTAACAGAAGCGAGAGAGAAGCCCAAGGACAATCACAGCGCAGCAAAGCTCCCCAATGCGGAGGATAACAGATACAACTTTATGTGCAGTACCGGTATGTGTATGTGCCATTTCGCAATGAGACAGGAGTGATTGATTAGAAATAACTTCGGGGGTTTGAGACAGTTGTGAAGTGGGTGTAGGCCAATTGGTTTCGCCGGCCGGATTGAAATGCTAATATGAGGGAAAACCTGGTGTATGTGTGCCTCTGACGACTGGCTGATTTCTGCAACATATCTCCTCATTACGCAAGAGTGTCGGCAGTGTCTGCCTCAAGTTAAACCTTGAAAATTAATGCAAGAAGCTAAGCATGTGACAGGTGGAATTGGCCGCCACACGACCTCCACACGACCGCCACACGACCGCCACAGACCTATACTTAACAAGTAAGCGAGGATGTAAAAGTAGCATGTCACAATAAAGGTCTAGACTGGTCCTCAATCAAAACCTTGAAGCACCAGTCGTATGATGTCGACCACTGGAAGCCGACGACCTTCATGTCAGCTTGAGTTTATTGTTCCCCATTGGTGTGTAAGCAATCTTAGTTGGTGTGCCGGGCAAAGCCACTTACACCAGCCGGCAACTCATAACCCAATCCTACGCCGTGACGGTTAGGAATGCATGATGAGGAGCACGGTGCAAGCTCGTAACAGGAAGCTACACCTTCCAACAACTCACCGACATTTAATGAAGATTTCTTTAAATTTGGATTAGGTTGAACGGGGTAGTGCAAGGCGTTCGAGGAAGCCAGTAGAGGAAGCTCGAGGGGCGAAAGCGAAGCAACGGGGCACCAAGGAAGGCTCCAACTGGTGGGCGAAAAGGGAAGTTGTGGACTGGCTGGCTCGTCATTATCAAATAGAGAGCGGTTTGTACTACGCAATGAGATAGATCCGGTGCGAATGGCCGCAAGATAACCACCCCGAGCGCTGTGTAGGTCGTGTTAGGCGGTATTGGGATGGCTTCTATGATGTTAACTGGTACTGACGGATCTGCGAGAACAAGAAGGTAGTAGCGCCCTCCAAGACAGCCAGAAAGATAACGGGCTGGGAGACGGAGATTGAGACTTGCCATAAGATCAAATCTTAGCTGCTTCTCCACGCCCAGTACCTACAGAACCATCATGAAGATGTCAGCTAACAAGGTTTGGTCTAAGATTGCCAGCGATATCCGCGCTGGCCAATCCGAAATCTAGCCAACAGATTTGAAGACATGCTTGTGACGATGTGTGACATCTCGCGAACCCTTATATGTTATGTCCCGATTTCCGGACAGTTACATCATTGAATGCACACGACATCAGAATGGACCTGGCCGTGCGATCGGGTGCACGTTTATCAAATGCCCACACCCCCATCGCTGCGCGAAGGTTTTCCTGGCCTGGAGCCAGTGGGATCTAGATGAAATTTGTGGATTCTTGTTCACACTCAAGATAAAAGTTGAAGGGGGACGAGGCTATGCATCAAACCGGGGCTGACGCCCGCGTCTGGAATGCCCGATTTGGCTGGTAGCTGACGACACGCCTGCCGAAAGAAACTCGAGACATTGGTTTTCTGATAAGAGCTGTTAACGGAGCAGAACAATCGCCTCTGAGACAAAATAATCATTCGGAGCGTTGAGCCGGTGCCAATGGATTAAACCTCTTGCCAAACCGTCCAATTGGGCCACGACCAGATCCGCCATCAACATCATCCTCCCCAACGGCCGGCCATCTCCATTCTTGTTTGACGTGGGGATACGCCATGAACGCCCGTAACAGGGTCCAGAGGGAGGCTCCGAGACTCCACCTGGTTCCTCTCCAGCAGGGATGGCGCTCTTTATGGCGTCATACGTCGATCATGGGCTGAAACAGTCATCATCTAGCGTCACGACCCTCTATGCTTTCCGAGGCTTCTAGCGCCGGGGAGCTTCTGGGTACGGTTTAGCGCACGCATCCGACCAGACGGGCACGAATTGGAGAGCGAAGGGCTAAGAGACGGGAGAGGGTCCAGACCAAACCTTACGAGAAGCCTGTTCTGCAGCGAATGCACCACTCTCAGATTACGTAGACGCCTCCCGAAGCATAACAAGTTACGCGGCTGAGAGTCAAGAGCCGGACTTGCTTCACAAGTGAGTCTGGAGAAAGGGAAGGGCGGATTTCCAAAAAAGACAAAACCAAACCAACGCTCCGCCATAGCTGCCCGAGTCTCCACCCCTCGGGCGTGACTGAAGAAAATCGAAATGGCATCATAGCGTGAATTAAACTGCTTCCGCCTTGCTTGTGGTTTTCTATTGCTATTTAAAATGTGTAGTAAAGAGCCAAAGGTTGCCGAGGTGTAGGTAAGTTCAAGGCCTTCAGCTCCTTCAAGGTAAGCACAAGTTGCTGCAACAGAGTCACAATAGCATAGTTCAAACGTGACATCCACATTGCTCACTACGACGTCCTGATCCACTAGATCATACATCTTAGGCCTCGGACCTACCTCATGCCCCTAGCTTAGACCCGACCGTCATATTTTCAGCCCATCGCTGTTTCGGAGGACCAGGCCGCAACAAGACTGGGCCGTAATATTACTAAAAGGTCACTGGTAACTCCACGACACCGACATCTCCGCCCAGCGGAGTGAAGTTGACCTTTTCAACGGGAACGGCCACCTTAAGGTCGGGTAGCTCGCGGTAGAGAGTTGCTGTATGCAGATTAGCTTCCAGCCAAATTGATTTTTGAATCATTGACAACTTACAGAACACAGTTGACAGCTCTGCCTTGGCGAGGTGCTCAGCGATACACCGGTGGTCGCCAAAGCCGTAGCCAAGAGGGTCGTTAGTACCCCACTTGCGGTTCATGTTGAACTCGTCGGGCTTCTCAAAGACGTCGGCGTCACGGTTGGCGGACTGATTGGAGGCGATGATGCCCTCGTTGGCCTTGATGAGCTGATGACGATGAATTAGCTTTGTCTCTGCTTTTTGTACCTGTCATTGCTTATTGCTTACCCTGCCGCCAATCTCAACGTCCTCCTTGGCTGTTCGCTTCATCGCCAGCGCTGATGCAGTGTGGTATCGGCACAGCTCCTCGACGAACACAGGCGCAAGTGAGGGGTCGGCCTTCAATTGGGCCAGCTGCTTGGGGTGCTGGGATAGAGTCACAATGCCCTGGCCTTATCAGCACGGTCTTCTCATGTTTATGAGAGATACTTACGAGAGCAATCATGTTGACCATGGTGGCGTTGCCGGCGACGAGGAGGAGGAACGCGATTTGCACAGCATCAGACTTGTCAACGATACCAGGCTTCACTTGTTCGGTGCACAGCTTGCTGATGAGGTCATCCTGGGGCTCCTCAAGACGCTCGTCAACCAAGCCGGCGAGGTAGTTGAGCAGCTCCTTGTTCGCAGACGATGCCTCTCGGGCCGTGGAACTGCCATTGGTTCGAATAGCGTTCTGGGTAGTGAGATACTGCAGGTCATGGAAAGGAACGCCCAGGATGGTATAGATGATCTGATTCCAACTCAGCTCACGCCCATTGGCTTCATCCTCAAACATACATATGACGGCACTGGAAGTGCGAATTCTTTCACGAGGTCAACGGGGCCATTGGCGCAACCCTTGCTCTTCATCGCGCCCAAGAGGTCATCAACAGTCCTCTGGATGTACGGCTGGAGCTTCTTGACGGCTTCAGGGGTGAATAGCGGCTCGACCATGCCCCTGGAGAATGGTTAGAGACGGTCCAGACATTGAAATCAGGAGACTCGCCTTTGATGCATGTGATCGGGAGCGTCCATGTCGACAAATGTCGGCTTGGCCTTGGCGGCCTGCTTTCCACCGGGGCTCAGTTCGGGGAAGCCTGGGCGCGTGCGGACCTGCTCAATGTTAACCCAACGCAATCATTTTGAACCATGCAAAGACATGCCTTGGAGAGTCTCTTATCGGTAGCAACAAAGCAGACGTCCTTGTACTTGGTCACCAGCCAAGCGTGGCTGCCGTCGAACAGTTTCACCTTGGAAACAGGGTCCGTAGCCCGGAGCTTCGCAAACTCAGCCGGCGGCTCCATGCCCGAGGCACGCTGGAAAGGGAAACTTGGTGGCTCAGCGTTCATGGCGACGGCAGTCTGGCTGAAATGCCGTACGGGCTGGTTGCGTATCCATGTTGTGGTGGAGATGAGCTTGGAGGACACGGTACGGCGCATCATGGTGGTGTTTGTTCCAAGGCCGATGGGAATGATAGTACCCGATCCATCTTCACCATCGTGGCGAAATCTTTATACCAGCTCTCCCGGAATCATGAGATAATTGGATTTGAAATCAACGTCGAATTGTGTCCTCGGAAAGACCCACTCCATTCACTTCCAGCACCATGGCACAGTGTCACATATCGGGATATCGGATTTCTGCGGTTATGACGGCAGCCAAGCTTTCTGTCTTTCATCATTGGCGTCCATCGCCACTTGCCTCATCAGCGGCCTCGCCAGCGGTCTAGCTTTTCCCTCAATCAGGTCAATAGCTAGATAAAGTCAAAGACCCCGAGGCATCCGGAGCCTCTCGGCTGTCCGAGGTCATCCGAGGTCATCGTCAGTTTCTTCGTCTATACGACTGACCCAAAGACCTTCATTAGATAGGAAGAATACCAAGAGCTTCTCGCACACATGATCACTTCCATCTGCTAGATGTAACACACAGAGTACCTACGTAAGACGCAGGCGCACGAGTCACGGGCTCGACCACGATCCATAGAAGAGGGTTTGTTGCATTTTTGCCACTACGCCAAAATGGAATGCGCAGTGCAGTAATGGCTTATACACTGGATGTGACAGGGTTTTATTACCAACAGAAACAGTCAGGAGGTCAATTACCAGGCGCAAAATCCCCGCAATAGCTAGCGGGACGTTATTGAGCTTGCCGTTTAGGGTCCCAGCCGGCGCTAGATCTCCAAGGAGACGTCCGAACTGCCGCGGAGATGCTCATATCTACCGCTCCAAGTGCTTGGCTTGGAATGATGTGATGCTATGATCTGATGTTAAAAGCCTCCCACCCTCCAAGGACACTTTTCGAATGCTCTCGGCGAACCTCCTGATTTCAACTAATACAGTCAAACCACATCCCGCTAGTGCTTGGCCTCCCACGGCCACCGGCATTCTTTTTCTCTCAAGTTCTCTTTTCCGAGATTATGTGACTGTATATTGCACGACTCAATCACTGACACTGACAATGCAGGCGATTTAATAGTGGAAACGACAAGTCATCTATTAGAAGAGAATATACCAACCACACAAAGAATGATCGGGCCGGCAGCCGGCCGTGGAGGGTCGCTACCATGGTGAACTAACGAGTATAGTGTTAATGACGATCAGGCTTTTCATGAAATAGTCCTCAACTCACCATTGTGGTTGCGGTGAAGAGGTCGGCGCCGATAAGCACGACGAGAACAAGACCCAGTGGGAAAGTTGCTGCTGCAAACAGCTTCAGAGGTCCCGGAGCATTCTCAGCGTAGTACGGCGCAGCGAGTGCTGTCAGAGAGACGGCACAGCCAAAGCTCAGGAGGCATCCTGCGGACACAGCTGACAGGAAGACCCATCAACTGCCCGTTCAAAATCACCGCATAATGCAATGGAAATACGAACCATTTCTGGATCTATGAGACTAAAGGGTGTCATAATCATCCTGCCTCTCATGACCCCTCTGCCCACACTGTCTTCCGGAAGAGAACCTCAACACAGCAAAGCCTCGCAAAGTCGCTTATTCAGCTAAATTCTCTCCCTGCATGAGAAATGGGAGAAATCCTACGTCTTTCATCATCAACGCCAAGTTATTTTACGCAGAAGGATATCTATAATGATCGGCAACGTCTCCGCTCTCAGTTTCTTAGCGGACTAACAGCAACTCAAGCTTGGATTTCGATCCTTCGATCATACCGTCCTGCGGCATTTCATCAAATATGAGGATAATGATGAACATCGCATTCAAGGCATCTTCTGGACTTACCCTTGGTGTGAGACACAGTGGAAGCGTTTTCATGAGGTCCTGGGTCTCGATAACACATATAAAACCAACTGCTTTAAAATGCCCTTCTTCCAAGTGACTGGTGTCTCTGATTAGAGGTCTGTTGTGAATTTCGCCTTCGGCCTTATTGATAACGAGAAAGAGGACGTATATCGCTGGCTTTGTCAACAACTCGATGCCTGTAGACGAGATCTTCATCTTCCAGCTCCATCTGTAGTCATTACAGATAAGGAAAAGGGTCTCAAGAATGCCCTGAGCCAGGTTTTCCCTACTGCCCAGCAGCAACTCTGTATGTGGCATATTGACGCTAATGTAAGGGCTAAGATTAGATCACGATGGAATGCTGATGACCCCGATGACCTTGAAGACGACGATTCCGAATCTGACGATACACCTGAAGCTGCCAATGTGGCCTTATCATCTAGTCGCCAAGGGATGTTTGAGGCCCGGAAACGCGTTGTGTATGCTCCCACTGAGGTTGACTTTGAAGCCCGGTGGAAGAAGCTTAATGACACATATCCTCTTCAGCATCACATCCTCCGTTACATCTCTAAGGAATACGTGGCTTGGAGGCTTCAATGGGCAAAGTGTTTTATCGATAACTATCGCAGCTTTGGCCAGAGGGTTAACAGCCCTACTGAGACTGCTCACAAGGACGTGAAGTCATTCCTAGTCAGTGGCAGAGGAGATCTTCTGTATCTTCACCAAGCCCTTGAGACGATGCTTGAGAAGAAGTAGCGAGACTACATTCAACGCGCTGCAGAGATGAATATGCCCATCCGACTTAAGTTTATGCACTGAGACTGGCTTCGTGATATCAACACACAAGTCTCGTACGTTGCATTTGACTTGATAGCTCACCAAGCCCGTCTCGCGATAGCGGCACATCTCACAGAGAAAAACCCCCGCCCAAAGCATCTTTCTGCATGTACAGGCAAGTTCACGCAGCAATTTGCACTCCCATGTGCCCATAGTATTTTAAAGCGGCTCGAGGCCATAAACTCGCATCAGCAGCATACCATGGTCTCCAGCATGGTCAACAATGGGGAAACCTGCTTCTTGGTGCTTCTTTGGCTAGGGGTCTTATGTACGTTCTCATGTTCCTCAAGCCGCCAAAGTCAATTCTCCCGTCTCGACCTCCGACTGAGCTGTTGGCTTCGTTCGGCTTGATCTGTGGCGGAATCATCTTCATGTCAAGCGTGAGTGATGTCTCTCTGAACCATTGTAACATAAGCTGACCTAGCCCAGAGCTCCGACACCGTCGGAGTAATGATCCACTACGACCTGAACGCCATGTTCAT